TTTTTTTATCTCTACTGTTTCTTGTTTTTTCTCCTCTTTTTAAAAATTTCCCTCATACTTAATTTGCACTTCCCTTTTTTACTGATATTTTCATCATAATTTTCCTTCAACTTTCTCCTTTCCCGCCGTTTCCCTTTCTCCCTTCCTTACCTCTCCACTTTCCTACTTTTTTTCCCTCTTCCCACTCTTTCACTTTTCCCTCATTCTCCTTTCTCTTGTCTCCCTTCCTACCTATTCCCCTATTCCTTCTTTCTAACCTTTTCTTCACCATTTCCACTTTTTTTTCTTTCCCTTCGTATCCTTTTCCCTTTCCCCACCCTTCACCCTATTCCCTTTCTCTTTTTACATGAATTTCCCTATTACTCTTTCTACACCTTTCTCCTCTTCATCTCTTCATCTTTTCTCCTTCCCGTTTCTTCTGTTTTCCTCCTTCCTACCTTTTCTCCTTTTCTTCCTACCACTTTCACTGAGTTTCCTTCCCGTTCTCACAGAATATCTCACGGCTCTCTCCTTTCATTTAATTCCCTTTTAACCGCCTGTTTTATATATTTCTTTATGCCAATCTTCCTTCTGTCCACTTCTGCCTCCCCTTCCTCCTCCCTTCCTATACCTACCCTTCCCCAACATCCTATCCATGCCTCCACCCTTACTCTTATCCTGCCTCCCTTTCCCTCCTTATTAAAAAGTTAAGATACAACTCACATACACGACCTATCAAGCGTGGCGAGAGACCCCTTTTCTAGTTATTCTATTACCCTGCCTTAATATTTAGACAATTTCGGTTTAATTCCCTAATTTCTCCATCTCCCCTTCTCCCCTTTTCTCAAAGCTCCACATCCCTATTCCTTCCTCTGCTCAGCCTCACTTAACACCCAACTCACCTGTACAGACACGCCCCATCAGCGCGTGATGAGTGGCCCATGTTGTGGCGTGGCCCGGCGGGCAAGCAGACCGGCACTGGCGCGTGTTGGCCATGATCACGTACAAACACTTGACACACTCAGCCGTCTCGAGGTCGCATCGAAGACAGTCTGGCTGGTTACACGTGGCTGTTTGGGGAGAGATAAGAGAGGGTATTGTTTAAGTTAGAATTTGAAGATCGGGTACATACGTTGCGGTTCATAAACATTAATTTCTTTTCCTTTTTCTTATTTGATTATCAAGCCTGCTCTCCTCGTCTCCTAGATAATTAATATCTTGTTAGTCCGCCTTTTTGCTTTCATTCTAATTTGAAATTTTTGACTTTATGTTTGTAGACACTATTTATTTTACATATATTTCCTTTCTTCTTATAATGACAATCATATTTTCATAATTGCGTTATTTCCTCCGCCTTTTCAGTTTTCATTATTTCTTCTATTAGCACGTTTCTTATTCTTCTTTACCCCTTTTATCCTTCCTACTTAAAATACACAGAATATGAAATGTGCACCTAAATCAACTCGAAACTAAAACATTAAGAGAAATTGATTGTTCATCATTATATAATTCGTGCATAAAACTATACGTTCAATGGATGTGAAAAATAGACAGTGTCACTATATCATCATAAGGCTTGTGAAGTTTTATGATGATAGAATAGCACAGTTCTTGCATCTGCATGTGGGAAAATCTATGTTTTGCGCATATATATTCTAAAACAAAACGTGACGGTTTTCGGCTTTTATCGGATCATTATAAAGTTTTATTACTAAATAGAGTTGAAAATGGATCCGTTTCTCCATAATGATACAAATAGCTTTCCGCTTGTGATAGCATATATGCAAATAGGCAGACGTACTCGAATTTGAGAGAAAGTTGGAGAAAACGGAGTAATCAAGGGAACAAAGAAAACGAGGTAATCACGAAGACAAAGAGGAAGGGAAGTTATTTGGCGTGGCTGACGACCCTGTTCCCTATGAATGTCGCTTTCCTGCATGACATATGTCTGTCTGCCTTGATAATAAAGAAAGCCATGCGGTGGGAAAGATTTTGCCATGGAGTTATGTGGGAAGAATCAAGTGACTTCCAGATGCAAGTGAACTAAGATATAGTGTTCAACTGAAAAGACTTTGATATAAGAGAATCTTTGTAATCTATGAGGTTTATTTCTGTTTGTTAGATTCTATGGTAAATATAAACTCTAATGACTTAGATTCCAAACTGTGCTAAATTATAATAATATGATTTTAATTACTATACCAAGATTGCTAATGGAAAATAAAAGAGCATTTAAAATCTACTTAAGATCACAAAATCGAAAACATAATGACTCCTGTGATGCAGTTATCATCAGAATAATAATAATAATGTTGAACATGAAGGTACAGTTATCATGACGATGCTAAAGTAATGGTGTTTATGGTAATGATAACGATACTGATATTACGGGAAGATAATGGTAAAGATAATAATAGAAATGAATATATTAATGATTGCAAATGTCAAGATAATAATATAATAATAAGTAATAATAATAAATATAGTAATAGTAAAAATAATAATGATAATAACAGTAATA